ATAAGGAAGTGATTTAAATTTATTAGATAAGAATAAAAGCCATTCTGCAACTGATAAATGGTGAAAGGATAAGAATAGGCAGTTTCTAAGAAAGAAATCTAAGCTCTTGGTGGCCATATTTTTTAAAAATGCTTCAAATCACTAATAATTAGATAAAGGCAAATTAAAGCAACTCTGAACTTCCATTTCACACAGAACAGATTGGAAAAGTTGGCAAAAAATGGAAAATGACAAATGCTGGAGAGGATGTGGGCAAACAGGTAGATCTATGATCTTTCCAGCCATTCTGGAAGACAATTTGGAACCGTGTCTGAAAATTTACTATACTGTTCATACCCTTTGACCTACAGCTACTACTAATGCTATAACCCCAGAGATTAAGGAAAGAGGAAAAGGACCCACATGTACAAAGATCATTATAGCCCCTGTTTTTGTGGTAGCAAAAACCTGGAAACTAAGAGCATGCCTGTTAATTGGAACATACCGGAATATTATTGTTCCATGAGAAAAACCTGGGAAGATTTCTATGAACTAATAGAGTGAAGTGAGCATAACCAGGAGAAAAATGTATATAATAACAACAACATTATAAATACAAACAACTTTGAAACACGTGAGAACTCTGATCAATGCGATGATCAACCACAATTCCAGAGAACTAATGATGAAAGATGCTACCCAACTACTGACTCAATGTGTGATGGACTCAGGGTATAGATTAAGATATATTTTTTTGTTTTACCTGACTATAAATATTTGTTAGAGGTGGTTTTTTTTTCACTGAGGGCAAATGGGGGCACACATTTTTATTCATTAAAAAAGCAAAATTAAGTTTAAAAGGGAAAAAAAACATTTTATACCATTAAAAAAAGTGGACAAGTAATTTAATTAGAGGAGAGAGAAAATATGGACAGTCTGAATCCTGCTTTGAGTTCACAAATTATGAAAATGACCAGAAAAAGGCTCTAGCACATTGAGTGAGTCTTCTATGAAGACTTCACAGGAAGATATGCATAAGAATCAAATATGACAATAAGTGTGTAAGGCAGTGTGGTACAATGGAGTGATTACTGGCTCAGGAAGTCAGAGGACCTGGGTTCCAATCATGCCTCTGGAAGTTATGACTTGTGGGTCCTAGACCAACAATCCTTAGAATTTATATCTAGAAGAGGTCTTAGTCTAGGATCTAGAATGATTTTTTTTTCATTTAAAGATAAGAAGACAGGCCCAGAGAAGGAAAGCAAGTAGCCCAAAGTCCACAGGTAATAAATGGCATGAGCATGACTCCAGTCAAGGCCCTCCTCCAATGCTGAATCCACATTTGTCCTTCTTGTTATGCTGCCTCTTAATATGCCAATGACATCTACCCAAGTTTTGAAACAAGGAAATGCCCATCATGAAAAATAAGACTCATCACCCAGTAGATGGAAGCTGCCCCTGCCCTGAAGATTTAAAAGAGGATAACCAATAGCAGGACAGACAAAAATTTCCCAATCCTAAACCCTGTCTCCACGTCTAGAAAAAGATACAGTTGGTGAGTTTGCTATTCCCAACTTGAGTTATATGACACAGTATGCTAGTAGACTAGGAATAGAAGAGCTGAGTTCAAGCATTGCCTCTGCTATTTCTTAGTTGTGTGAGGTCCAAAAAAATGACTTTACTTCCCTGAGGCTCAGTTTCCCAATCCATAAAAGGAAGGTAATAATACTTTCCCTGACTACATAGTGGAGTTTTCTTACAAGACTCACAGGAGAGACTAAGTGTAAAGCTGTAACCCATTGTTAGGAAACAATTACTCAAGGGTTTCAGGGACGGAAGGTTCAAAATGAAAATGAGACCAGGCCTTTAAATAATGAGGTCTTTCCAAGTAAGCAACTAGGTCTTGTTTTATTTTTTAAAGCATAAATCCATGAAATAGGAAAACATTCCATTAACAAATGGATCTTCATGGATCTTCAGGCCAGTTTTTTCCTTGCAGTCCCTGCAGTCACCTAGTTCTAGCTATATAATGGAAAGGAGTTACTTATTAGTACCTGTAACATTCTATGATTCTATAAACAAACCACGGATAAAATTCACAGTTCATACCTTCCTTCATCCTCCCCTCACAGAATAAACTGCTAAACTCCAACTGGTAAGCTTAGTTATTTAAAAACTTTCCTCATCTCCCCTTAGTAGAACATTAACTTCCTGAGAACAGAAACTGTCTCTGTACACCCAATGGCCTAGTCCAGTTAGTTGGCCCTGGATATGCTTGCAGCTTCTTGGATGGTTTAATCCCTAGCACAGACCAAGTTTTGAGTGGGTCTGTTGAGTCCTAATATAAGCCCGTGTCACACTTTACTCCCTGGGCATCTTTTCCTCCCCATACTCCTACCAAGAGCTTGGCCAGGGCAAGTCTGAACATGCTTGGAGGCCACCCAAACACAGGTCAGAGACCTGGCTCTCAAAAGTTATTAAAATAAGATGTTCAGGGACAAGAAGATAGCCTCCAGTGTTCAGTCTTCCATGCACAGAAACTACCGCAATCTGCTAAGCATTCTCTATCTCCAAAAATATAGTGCTTAACAGGATCAGGATGTCAAGGGAACAGAAGGAGGATGACTGGAACTAGGAAAGCATAGACCAAGGATATGGAGAATCCAGGCTCTCTGCTGGCCATCTACTTTCCAGGGAAGTCTATGTCATGAGAGCCTATCAGAAAAGGGTACTTAAAATGGGGGAAATCTCTTAAGTGACCCTATATACTATGAGCTTTTGTTTTAGAACAGCAATATCCCAAGTTGCATACAACAGAGTAGGGTTGGTAGGGAACAGGCTTCCACTTTATGCCAGCTCTGGGCTAAATGCTTTACAAATATTCTCATTTGGAAAAGGCACTGGACTCTGAAGATAGAAGAGCAAATTCCAATCCCTGCTTCATGGTTTACTTTGTAATAATCTTGGGCAAGTGACTGGCCTTATGTTCCTCATCTCTAAGGTGGAGGACAATGACACTAGTATATTTCAGTGAAGAGCAAATTGGAAAAATATAAGGCTCTAACTGCATCACATTTCATAAATGTTAGCTATTATAGCTTATGATAAAAATCATCATACCAGCTCACACCTAGGTGACGCTTTACGGTCTGCAAGTCGCTTGTTTGAGCCTTTAAAAAAAGCTACTCTGGATGTCATTATTATTCCTATTTTACAAATGAGGAAATTGAGGCGTGAAGAGGTTAAATCACTTGCCCAGAGAGAAGGTAGGAAGTAGGTGTTTGAGGTGGGGGCAGAGTATTGTTCCCAGGAAGAGAGACTGAATAAAAATCTGAAGATTAGCTTGAATCCCAACCCAATTTCTTATGAGATATCCCATTCCTTCTCATTTCTTTTGGTTGTAATTCATAATAAGCACCTCCAGGAAGGAATTTGAGGCCTGAGGTGAAAGGGTAAGGACAGAAAGGAAGGCTGGGCACTTAAGTTTGTCTACACCACACGGCTAGAACAGCTACATTTTTATTAAAGTAACAAAAAAAGTGTACATTTATCAATAGAGCTGTACATTCTTTCATATAAAAACACTATACAATATACAATTAGTAACCTTTGTCCCCTCTGTCAGAATAGCTTACAAACTCACTACCATGTTTTACTTAATATGAGAGCCAGTCCTGGTCAACAGTCCAGCTCTGAGATCTTGTCTTTTAAAAGTACATATTAAGGAAGAAAAGAGAGAAAATATTTGAGAGACCACAAATGGCAGGGTCCTGTGTGCAGTCAGAGGCAAGGACATATATTCCACGGTGATTCACAGCTGTTTGTTGTTTTTACCCATCTCACAGGACAAGGAATCAATTCCCTGCTCTGTGGATGAAGAATTAACTTTCAATTAAATTTAATACTTGAACCAGGGTCTAGGAGCTGGCACGAAATTTGGTGCAGTCACAAAGGGGGCAGGACTAGAATGAAAGAGTAGAGAGTGTTTGGTTATTAGCACCTTAGGAATCAGGGAATAGAGCAGCTTGGGAAATCCAAAGGGAAAAAGAAAGCTGGGGACAGACTTTCACAGAAGGGGATTGGGAGGAAGGGGGAGGGATTCTTTACTAAGCCCTAGCAACAGAAGCTTAAACAAGCTGACCAGATGCTCCAGCTGTGTCCATCCCAGGGTGTTCTGATCAGGGATACCTGAAGCCTTCTCAACCCTCCCCCTTACTCCCATAAGTAGAGTGGGAAGGAGGGGGAAGGGATTTTCTTTTCTAGTGCAGCAGTTTTCTATTTCTCCCCAACCAAGAACAGTAAATATTGCACAATTCTACTAACGGATTGGAGTCACATTTAGAGAAAGACACTCCTCTTCCACCACCAGGCACTCAGTGCCAAGGAGAAGTAAATGCCCAAAGGTTTGTTTTTAGACGCAGCTCAAGAACAATGCCAAGGCCTGTAGAAACTGGGGCTCAGGCAAGAGATGCCCTTAAAACAAACTAGCCAGCTGGAGCTCAGAGGGCCTCAGGGAAAGTGATTCTTCATGGATGCCAGCAAGAGGGCTGGAAAATCATTCCCCCACCAGGCCACTCTGAGTTGCTGGAGGCTATATTGCACAAGGCTTGAGAACTTTTGTCCTAAAAGGATGGGGGGTGCTCTAGTGACAGCCCAAAAACAAGGAAGGGGAGAGAAAGGGGAGATTTGTGCTTTCAAAAGAAGACTTGTCATAAAAGTCCTGAAGTTCCCTGTAGCTTTTGAGTTCACCTCTTAAAGGGATAATGGCAGCATCATCAGGACTTTTTCGTGGTTCCCTAAGCAGGGCAGCAGACAAGGCTGCCAGTCCAAGGAGCATTCCCCATTGAGAAATGTTTGGGCCCCAGCCTTCCATTACAAATCACCCCCTTGAGAATTCAATATACACACATACACATACAAAGAGCAGCATAAAGCAACATAGAGATTTTGTGCAGGTTTCCTTACCCTTCTATTCTATGCCAGACCCTCCATCACCAAAAAAATCTAAATAAAAATAAAAACCCCAAAGACTTAGAAATCACAGCTGAGATGTCAAAACCTTCCAGACCCTGAGCATATTATCAGGACAATTTCTTAATTTCAAGAAAAGTTGATCCAGGCAGGAGGAATAAGGAAGCTGCCCTTTTGTTTCCTGCCCATGATCTCATCAGAGAGGGGAAGAAAAAGAGAAGAAAATAAAAAAAAAAGAAAGGAAAGATAGGTAACATAGCATTTCAAAAGTTTAGGCTTGAATGCCTCTTAGCAAAAAAGGATCAGGTTCTTGGAACCCTGGCTGTGGGTATAGGAGGCTATAAATTGAAATTCTCCTGTACCCTTCTCCCACCCAGGGTAGACCCTGATCTTTCTCATTCACAGTTGCTAACCATAGATCTTCTTGTTTTCCCTGGGGTGCTGACCAGGCTCCTACCCTATACCTTCCCCAACCCTACCATCATCTCATCCTGCCAAGTCCATACACCTAAACTGCTACCTCTCCCATTGGCAGATACTGGCTTCAAGACACTCAGGCTCACAAAATTTCTTTCCAAAGGCACCATAGGAGGCCACTTCCAAGCAGCTCTCACTAAGTAAGGATATTTTTTTCTTTAAAAAAAAAATTTTGGTTTTTTTCCCCCTCTTTTTTAAAAAAAATATATATAAATAACTCTTCATTTAAAAATATGATTCCCCAAGTTGAGGTATGCAGTAGCCTGTTGTCACGGCTGAATGAATACAGTAGATTGCTGCGGGTGGGGGAGGCAGTAGTAGGGATCTTAACTGGAGACCGCCATCACATAGTTCTTTGACTGGCTGCTCTGGCCCAGCATGATTTGGTTCTTGCAAGTGAGGAGTCCGTAAGAGGACGGAGTGGGCCCTTCCTCATAGAGGACACAAATTGATCCATCTTCTCCAATTCGGTAGGACACTTCATAGGGGTCTACCCAAAGGGTCAACTCGCTGGGCAGCAGGCGGTACAGCTGGGGCAGGCTGAGTCCAATCTGCCTGGCTACCTTGCTGATGATGGGGTCCATCTTGTGGTTGATTCGGATGCAGCGGTAGCCTGAACCTTTGGATGGTTTTTCTGGGAACCAATGGTGTTTATAGTGCTCTGTGGAGGGAAATGGAAAGATTCCCTGGTTAATTCAAGTCAGGATGGCACAGGTTATGCTAACGGCCTAGCTAGGATGGCCATGGATTAAATGTGCAGGCAAAAGGAAGGAAGCGCATGCAACGTTATAAGCATACTTTATCACTAAGCAGTTTCAAGGATCTTCATTCAGCCCTGGAGGGGCAGGAAGATGTAGCCACCCAGACAAAAAGCTCAGGAAAGGCTGTCTCAGAAGAAACTCTGACCTTCTTGTAGTGCTCGCCCTGGTGGCAGTGGTCTGCAGCCGCAGCCTCCAACAGTAGCCCCAGTTTAAGGATGGGATTGATGTTCTAGCATGCCTGGGCTTGGCCTATGGGAACTCCAGGGGCAGTCAACTAACAGACCATAAGCCAACAATTTTGATTCCAACTCAGTTGCTATAACATTATGGGATTATGGAGCAAATCATCTGCCTTCTGTGCCCTCAGTGCTTCTCACTGGAAAACTACAGCGCCTAATTCTCCCAAGGCTTATAATCTGAAAAATCCTCTGCCAATAGACTCAGAAATCAAAGAGCCAGGGCCTTGGCTTCAGATTTGTTTTGAGAAAACAGTCGCAGTCCCAAAGGAGCCAATTCACAACAGCTGGTAGCCCAACCAAATCCCTTTTTATTAATTCCAGTCTCTCCCACCCCCACAGTCACGGACCTCCTGGAAAGTGGGCTTCCAGACAAGGCTGGACACCTTCACAAACCAGGGTAGAAGGCAGATGGTTCAAGGGAAACTGAAAGAAACCCGAACGGAAACTCCCGTTGAAACTCATTGACTCCCAAGTCTGCCCACAGCCCGAGTTATAAGGAGGTTTTGTGTAACCATCAAAGGAAAGTGGCTGTGTCTCTCTGATGATTGAAAGGATTCAGACAGGGACAAGGGATTGTGCCCCACCACAGGCTCCGTGGTCAGCATCCCGCAGCCACTGCGGTCCACCTCCACCCTCCCTTCTCTTCCTCCCCCTACCAGATGTTAATACTAATATTCCTCAGCACTCGCATCTCTCCACTGTAGAACAATAATATTAATAACTCACATTTCTGTAGTACTTTGAGGTTGGATTACGCAAACTGGGCACTTAGGGAAAACATTTGCACTCCGGGGGTACGGGAAAGTGTTGGCCGGGATGGAATGGGGTGGAATGCTGGGTACTGACTGATGATCGGGGGTACAGTTTAGGGCGGGTGGGACTGGAAGGGTCCAAGTGCCACCCTTGGGGTTAGTAACCTCTCTGAATATGCCCACCTGTGAGTGCCTCTTGAAGGGCCCCGCTGAAAACTTGCAGCCTCTGTTCGCTTACACAGCCCCGGGTCCTCAACAGGCTCGAGAGGAAACCCACGGCGGCGGCGATCTCCGGGAGCATGTCTGCTCTCTTCCCGGTCCAGAGGGTCTGACTCATCTCGGGCGCACTGTCTCTGAGAGTGGCGGCGGGGGTTGTGAAGCTGGTCCCAGCGGCAGCGGGATGGGGAGAGTTCGCCAGGCTGGACCAGCCACTACTCTGGGGGATTCCAGCTGAGTTGACTTCCAAACCGTCAGCACCACCAAGGCTCCTGCTCTGCCCGGACTTGTAGCCTGTCTCTTCCTTTCATAGACTTGGCGAGGGAGGGGGAGACGGCGGCGGAGCCCATTGGCCATCGTGGGGCAGAGCCAGCCTTCGCCTCGCATCCCGCACTCCACCCCCTGCGGCCGCCTCCGCCTCCTCCGGCGCTTATGTCATCCTGGAGTGACGTCAGTGCTGGGAACCAGAGCTGGGGCTAGAGACGGGAGGAAGAGGGGAGGAGTGAGGGGAGGGAATCTAGGGTAAACCCGGAGTAGGTAACCTGGAGAGAAAGCAGGAATAACCGGAAGAGAAGAGGGACAGAGAGAGAGGGGGCAGAGAAAGATAATGTACCTGGAACCCTTCCTAGAATATCTTCCTCTATCCACTTATCCAAAACCTCCCCATCCTTTGGAGTGCCCAGTTATCCTTCACCCTGAACACCAATACTCAAAACTAACGTTCCAAAAATCCACCGGGATGTTCGCCTGCTCAAAAAACACAGTTGCTGTTATTAATTACAGACTAAAGTACCAACTCCTCATCCTGGTATACAAGGTTCCCTACATTATGATCCCAACCTATTTATTGTTCAGCATCTCCCCTATCTTTCACTCCAGCCAGAGTGGCTGAGGACAGATAGATCTCAAGAGAAAAAAAAAAACTCTTTTTTTTTTTACTCCCTACCTCAATTGTATTCAGACCAGCCTTGAATGTTACCCTTTCTAAACCTTTTGTCTACTACTCAATCAGTGGTAGGGTACAGGGCTACAGAAACACAAATGAACTCTTCCTTATCCTCAGGGAGCTGTCATTCTATATCACAAGACACATACAATACAATCTCCTAGTTTAGAATGCCCTCCCCAAGTCCTTTAGAATCATGAATATAAACACACCTAGATTTTTTTTTCAACCCTCTTTGTTTTACAGAATAAGAAAACAAGGTTCAGAGGAGTGGTTTACTCAAGGCCATCCAGGAAAGGAAGAAGAGTAAAACCAGGATTTGAATGGATTTTGTACTTCACCTCAGCACTTCCTATGGTGCTTTGCAGAAATTATTTTTTGAATGAATGAATGAAATAGACTTTGAATTGAATTGGTATAAAAAAGGAGGAAGAGAGAAATCGAGGAGAAAGAAAAAGAGAGTGGAATGAGGCCTATGGGAACACTTACCCTACTAGTGCTGTGTCATGGAATTAGTATTGTTCAGGGTGTCCAAAAAACCACATTTGAATCCTGGCTCGTCTATTTACAACCTGCATGACCATGGGCAAGTTACTTCTCTCTAGTCCTCGTTTTCTCCTTTGTAAAATGACAATGTTGGCCTACATGCTGTCTTGAGCCTAATTTGAACATTTAGAGGGTATCATGCTGTGATTTCAGATTCCAGCGACTTCCATGAGCTCTTCCAACTTACACCATAGCACACTAGCCTGGCAATTTAGACACTTCAACATACGGCATCTTATTTGGTCCTCACAACAACCTGGAGTTATTCTCCCCATTTTACAAAAGAAGAAACTGTAGCTCATCGGGGCTAAGTGATTTACCTGAGACATTATAGCTCATTAACAACCCTCCCTACACACTTAGTTAACCGGCATCTAACTGAAACTAACCTGTCACTTTTATAAAGCGAATGAACAAAATTAACTTTAATCAATCAGTTGCTAAACATTTATTCAGCACCTTCTATGTGCCAGGCACTATGCTAAGTGGTGGGGTTACAAAGAAAGACAAACTATAGTTCCCTCTCTCAAGAAGCTCATTGTCTAATGTGGGAGACAGCATGCAAACAACCGAATATGTACAGTAGATCTATGGGCTACACTAGAGATAATCCAGATTTACTCTGGACTGAGGATTCACCTTTGATGTCCTGAAGCCATTTGCATGGCTTTGCCATTTATTGACCTCCTCCCATGTTGTATGACCAGTGCAGATTTTTTGTGAGTAGAGGTGAGAGGTAAGAAAGAAACATTTTGGCCCAAGAGTGTTGCCATGAGACAGATGTTTCAAAAAGAAAGATAGTGTGTCCAAGTGAATTGGACTCCACACCCTTCATAGAACTTTCATGCAAAATTCCACTTAAGAAGAGTTGCTATCGTTAACCACAAAACATCAAATGCCTACAACTGTACATACAGTGACTATTTGCCCCAGATTTTCCAGAACAGTACACTTCTCAAAGGTTCAAAATTCAGCTAGAGCTGGAGACAGACCTTTGAGATCATAGAGGGTAACCCTCCTAGTCTATAGATGATGAAACTTAGTCTTAAGCTATTCTGTCCTTCTGCTCCTGAAAACTTTCAAAATATCCTGGAAATTAGAAATATTTCAGCAAGTAGTTACTGAATGAACCAAATCAGTTAAAAGAAAACACAGTAAGTATGTGCGATTCACTAAAGATTGAGAGCCATGAAAGAAGGTGTATCACAGGCTGAAGAAACATTGTAATTATTTCTGAATAAGCCCACATGCGATGTACCTGGAGTGTTTGCATGTGGCAAGCATGTTGCTGGTGGCATAGCACTAGTTGGTGGCTGAATGGATTGACATATTTCTGTTGTCATGTCCGAGAATACTCTTACCTGGACGTGTTGATACAAAGATGACACTGTTATTTCCATTTCTTTGGGGTAGGGATACTTTCTTTGTATTCCCAGTGTCTGACTTGTAGAAGGTGCTTAATGAACTCTCTTTAATTGATTGCAGCTAAGCAATAATGACTCTCTGGGCTATAATAATAAAAATGATAGCTAACATTTAATGATAATAGCTGACATTTACATAGTGTGAGTACCAAGATTCCGAAGTTAAGTAACTTGTCTGAGGCCTCATAGTCGGTATGTAGAAAGGCAGAGACCCAAACCTAGGTCTTTGTACTCTGGTGCTCTTTCCACGACAAACTGATAATTAAGTATGATTTAATTTATAGGCTTTTATAATGCTTTTCATATAACTGAATTTTCAAATTAAGGCATTGATACAAATACAATCAAAGCAGGTACTGCCCTCAAGGAGCTTATGTTCTAATAGCTGAAGAGAACACAGCCATGGGGAGGGATGAAGGTACCCAGAATGGGGTCATGGTTTTGAAGTCCAGAAAAAAGCAGGAACATGGCCAGGATGGTAGGAATGAAGGCAGGCTGACCCAGTCCCATCCATAAAATGGAGGCTCCTGGGGGTGAAGGCAGGGTGGGTCTTGTGGAACGATATATCAAGGTGAGTAAGAAGCCCCAGGTTTTGAGGAAAGTTCTAGGCTGAGTTAGTAATGGAGGGGAGTATAGCTTTGAAGTTCAGAGAAAGTCAGGAATAAGGCAAGGATGGTCCCTGACCTCTAGGGTTCACAATCTAGTTGGAAAGATATGACTAATGGATAAACAGTACAAGATGACGTAGAATAACTGCCGAGTTATTATGGCATGAATAGATAATAAATGTGACAGGGAGAGAAAGCAGGCTGAGATGATCAGACAGGCTCTTCCTTGCTCACTATACCACCTGTGACCTCTGGACCCATGTTCTACTTGTCTTGTGGCTCTTCCACCCTTCTGATGCTGGATAGTGTGCTCACTCTGAGTTCCCCCTTCAAAGCATCTCTAGGAGATCTCAAACTAGCGTTGTGGAAATACTCCTCAAAGGAAATTGGACCCTCGTCTCTCAAAGAACAGGCCTTCACTCCTAGTGTGGGAACTATACACAAATTATTGGCCAATATTACCTTATTCTCTGTTTGGCATTCAAAGCCCTTCCTAACCTAGCCCCACCACCTACATTTTCAGTCTTCTTATACCTTACTCCCCAACTCTTACTCTTCAATCCATCATACTGGCCTTCTGGCTGTTCCATGAACAAGACACTTTAGCTCTGGGCTGAAGGCATTTTCTCTGGCTGTCCCCCATGCCTGGAATGTCTTCCTTCTCCATTCCAACTACTGACCTCCCTGACTTCCTTTAAATCCCAACTAAAATCCTACGTTCTCCAGGAAGCCTTCCCCAACCCCTCTTAATTTTAATGACTTCCCTCTCTTAATCATTTCCTATGTATCCTGTATATAGCTTGCTTTCTATATATTTATTTGCCTATTATGTCCCCCTTTAGAATGTAAACACCTTGAGGGCAGAGACTGTCTTTTGCCTTTTTTTAATTTCCAGCACTTAATATACTGTCTGGCACATAGTAGGTACTTAATAAATGTTTTCTGAATTGAATTGTAGGTGTGAGCAGCAGCATATTTGGTGCTTCTAGGAACTCAGCTGAGTTCCAGGGGTTAACTCCAAGTTCTCTTGCTATACTTAAGAGACCTGAGATTTGGTGAAACCTGGTCCCCAGGCAAAGGCTGTATTGAAATATTCTGGGAAGATGATGTCAGCTCCCTCTGACACCGCAGCCAGCTGCTGCAGAGCTCTGTATGATTCTCACATTTGAGCGTGTGCGCCTTCAGTTTTGCCTGTGCACATTGGTGTGCTTGGCCATGGCAGTGCGTTGAGGAGGGTTGCGGATGCATGTTTGTGGGAAACTGTTGAGAGGAGGGGTGGCAATATGACTGTGTCTTTATGGGTTTGCTACATGTTGACATTTTGGAGTTTGTATGTGTTTGGGGCTTGGGGACTTGGGGTGTATCTGTATTGGGTCTGAGTGCTTTGATCATGCTTTTTTTAGATCTCCTTAATGCTGTCCCTGCCCCTTCTGTCCTTCAATGATAAGAGACATCAGTACCTCACCAGGGAGGACAAGCAGCCTGCCTTCCCTCAGCTTCTTGAGTAGGAAAGCAGCTTAAGTAGGTTCATTCATGACAACTATGCTGCAGGGACTTTTAAGCCCCCTCCTATCCTACCCCCTTCCCATCCCTGCGCTGGGGGCCCTAACTCCTCTCAGAAACACGCCTTTTAAGGTCAAACTGTGTTCCTTTCCCCGATTTCCCTATTTCTATTAAACTGAGTCATGAAGACTTAGAAACTCAGTGACCTTTGACTCTTATCTCTCTGTCATCCCCAATGTCCTGACAAGCCCCAGTTGTAGACATTCTTACCTTAAATATG